AGATCTGCCTGCCTTTGCCTCCCAGAGTGCTGGGGTTACAGTGGTACTGCCCCACCTCACCCAGCTATCTTTGAATTTATTTATTTTATTTATTTTTTAATATCTTGCCTCAGGTTTATTTGTAAAAACAGCATAGGGTGCTGGAGAGATGGCTTAGAGGGTAAGAGCACTGGCTGTTCTTCCAAAAGTCTTGAGTTCAATTCCCAGCAACCACATGGTGGCTCATAACCATCTATAGTGAGATCTGGTGCCCTCTTCTGGTGTATAGGCAGAACACTGCATAAATAATAAATCTTAAAAAAAAAAAACAGCATAGGACACTGGTCATCTGTAAATAGTGTGTAGGTGAGTATGTCACACCAGTCCATTTCTCTTCACATCAAAAGAAGCCTTTCCTGTGGGGCCTTCTCAGGGGCCTGGGCACCTCTGGGAGCCTGAGCTGGAGCTTGGCCTCTGCCTTGGTTTGAACCTTGGGCTTTGGTTGGCAGAGCCTATGACCCTTGGCTATGTAGCTTCGAATCTGCTTCCCAAGCTTGGGGTGAGCGATGAAAGTCAGATGGCTGAGTTTGTGGCTGGGGCCCTTTGGCATTTTGGGCTTAAGGGCCACAGGCTTCACAGGGGCTTTGATGGGCTCTCCTCGTGCGCTCATTGCCTTTGCGTTGTTTGCCTGCATCTTCTTCAGGCCTTCCTTGTTGTGCTTCTTGGCAAAGCACATGTTCCTCAGAGTCCACCCCCTTAGGAGAGTCTTATCTTTGTGACTGGAGTTTCTTGATGCCTTTTCTGTGCCATTTGCAGGACTGGTTGTGTGTGGTGTGGTTCTTGGACTTGGCCGGGTTTGCACGGCAACCCGCGTCTCCCACAACATTTGAGACTGACGCTTTGATTTTTATAGTTTTTATGTGCACTACTGTTTCACTTGCATGTGCATGTGAGGCGGTGGGATCCATTAGAACTGGAGTTACAGGCAGTTGTGACCTGCCATGAAGGTGCTGGGAAGAGCAGCCAGTGTTTTTAACCACCAAGCATCTGCCCAACTCCTAATCTTTTATTTCAAACTGATTTTTTTTTTTTTTCTCTATTCTGTGTGGTACAGGGTATTGAACCTAGGGCCTCATGCATGCTAGATAAACATTTACCTGTTGGGGTTTTTGGGTTGTTAGGCTCAGAGATCGTACCTGATTTCACTTTGTTTAAACTTGTTTGTCTTTAATGCACAGTGTAATAATAGCCTATGTGTTGTATTGGATGGGGTGATTGGGGCTGAGTATGGGAACTGTTACAGCATTTAAGCCTCTTTCAAGGCTTGTGATTGACTGTCGAATATGCCAAAACCCCAAAAAGTCAATGTACGTTTTTAATAGAACTTTGAGCTTTTGTTGTTTTTGAAGACAAGGTCTCATTATGTAGCCCTGGCTGTCCTGGAACTCATTAAGCTAGCCTCAGACTCAGAGACTGCTGGGATTAAGGGCATGTACCTCCACACCTGGCTAGAATTTTTGTCATTTAATGTTTTTTGGAAATTTTCAAAAATGGTATATGATACTGTGATTTTGGATACAAACAGTTTAGAAGCATGATGGCGCAGGCCTTTAATCCCAGCACTCAGAAGGCAGTAGCAGGCAGAACTCTTGAGTTTCAGGTTTGCCTGGTCTACATAGGAAGGGAGGGAGGGCGGGCAGTTTATGTATTAGGGCCTTCTGCCGTATGTGGCCATGTTAGAAACAGACTGTCAGAATGTACTGAACCATAATGAATGAACACACTACATTGGTTTGAGGCTGGGTTGGTTGAATGGGGACAGAAATGCCCACTGTAGTAGAAGAGTGAGCTTGTCCTTTTTCCCTTTCAGCCCCCATTAAGTGCCTAGATAGGTGTGTATGTTGAGTTTTGAGTGATTTGGGTATACCCCTAAGGAGCAGTTTGTCACAAAGGACCTAGTGGCACTGGGATGTGAGGAAGCTGGGCGAATGGGCACTCGGCATCTGCCACCTTGGCAACATTGAGGCTGTTCTTTTCTTGTTCTTTGATGGAGACAAAAGACAGAAACATTCTTTTTGTTACACAGGTGATGATGTGTAAGAAATACCGCACACCTGTGAGGTACACGCGTGGTGATAAAATCGGTACACGCGTGGTGATAAAATCCCACACATCTGTGAGGTGTGCATGTGAGGATAAAATCCTGCACACACACTAGATGCATTTGTAATGGATAATAAAATCCCTGTAAGGAGTGAGGGCTGCCTGGCACCAGTAAGGGAGTAGGCAAGAATGACCTTTGTATCCATCCTAGGCATTGTGTAACGGTTGGCCTGGAAGTGATTGCTTAGAATAGAAATGTCTTTATTTCTGTAACAACAACACAAAATGCCTACAGTAACATTGGGCTGTGCATAGGAGAGAGCCAACGTTTGGAAAGCTCTAGTCAGCCTGAGCCCTTCTTAAGTGCCCTAGGCCAGAAAGAAGGCAGCTTCATCTCACCAGCTCTGACTAGAGACTTAATAGCAATTAGTAAGAAATTAAAGCCATGTATAGTAACACATGGCTGTAATCCCAGCCCTTGAGGTGGAAACAGGAGGAGCCAGGAGTTAAGGTGGACCTCAGTTTAAGGAGTTGGGGGCTAGCCTGGGCTGCATGAGATTCTGTCTCAAAGGCAACAAAATACAATTAATTTCAAATATGGTGTAAGCACCTTTAATCCACAAACACAGAGGCAGGAGGCTCTCTGAATTTGAGGCCAAGCCAGGCTACATTATGAGACCATGTTTCTACAGAGAAATAAAAGGCCAGAATTACAAAGGCCAAATAATGCAAATTACCCAAACCTCTTATTTGGCTTTTGAAAGTTTCACTGAATTTTTTAGGTCACAGACTTACTGTTTGTGGCACTCTTTGAAGCCAGCTTTAGAGCTGTTGAGCGGGCATGGCTTCCATGTGTGGAGGATGGAAAAGGATGGGGAAGCCTACATCAGAGACAGGAGACTACGTGCTAAGCAGCTCTCTAGAACTGCTTTCCAAAAGACCCACAGGACTGTCTGCCCAGCCAAATCACATGGCATTCATTTGAGACAAGATTTACTGTTATCTTGGAGGGCCTGGAACTTCTTCAGAGAGCCGCCTGCCTCTTTCTGAGTGCACTGCCAGTCAGGCTCCCCCAGCCTGTCCATCCATTGGAGAATTTCATACATGAATGCTGTTTATATAATTTTCATCCCACATGTTTCCCCCTCCAGCACCTCCCATGTCCCCCTACTTTTTTCTCAGACTTCTTAACCTCTTTTGTTGTTGTTGTTTGAGACAGTATTTTTCTGTGTAGCCCTGGCTGTCCTGGTACCCTCTGTAGACCAGGCTGGCCTCAAACTCAGAGCTCTACCTGCCTCTGCCTTCTGGGTGCTGGGATTACAGGTGTGTGCTACCACCTCTAGCTGACCTCTTTTTCTTTAATTATCATTTTACACACATGTCCGAGCTTGTGCAGATACAACCTGCTGAGTCCATTTAATGCGGTGTACCTGTATGTGTGTAAGGGGTGTCTACCTGAGACTGGCTAATTATCAGGGGCTTGTCCCTGGAAGACAGTGCATTTATAGGACCTTAAAAGTTACTTACTTATTTCATGACTGCATTGTGTTCCACTGTCGAGCTTGTAAGAGAACAGAGTCACCAAGGTGGCTCAGAAGGTAAAGCCACTTGCTTCCAAGCCCGGTGACCTTAGTTCCATTTCTGGAACCCGTGTGGTGAAAGGGAGTTGTTCTCTGACCTCCACGTGCGGTACATGGCCACCCGTGTGTGTGTGTGTGTGTGTGTGTGTGTGTGTGTGTGTGTGTGTGTTTATACCTTCCCTACCAAAAAAATGTGATTAAAAAAAAGATGGGAATGGTGATGTACACCTGCAACCCCAGCATTCAGGAGGCAGATGCAGGTGGATTACCACAAATTAGTTCCGGGTCATCCAGCCAAGGCCACATGGCAAGTTCTAAAGGCTTGGCAGCAAATGCTTTAATCCCCTGAACCATCTCTCTGGCCCCATGTTCTGGTCTTCAATGTTGTCAGTAGATCCTTTAGTGGGTGAGTCAGAAATATGCACGCACATCCTAATAATGTATTCTATTGAGAAAGGAAGACCGAAGGTCCTGTTACATTGAATTGTGTCTCTTGTCTTAATCTGGAATTGTTTTTTGTGTGCATGACATTTATTTTTTTTGTGGGATATTTGTGTGATTCAGGTGGCCAGGTATTTGCTCATGGGCTCAGGTTGTATGCTTTTGGCAGGAGCAGTACAGAAGTGATGCCATATCTTAGGGCCTGGGTGGGCAAGTGGCTGTCAGGCTGTCTGTTGTTCTCTGCGACACAACTAGACATAACTAGGCTGGTTAGCTGATTTGGGTTTCTCTGAGTTACTTTTTGGCCCTGTCACAACTGTTCCATCCCCCCCCCCCTTCTGTGAAGGAGAAGGAGACAGGATCTCCAGAGTTAGCCCTAGAAGCTTAGTGTGTAAACACCCCCCACCCCACCCCTGGCCTCCAGCTTCCTTCTACCTCCGGCTCCTGATTGTTAGAGAATTACACTGTGAGCCACAATGGCTTCCTCTTTCCTTTTGAGAGCGTCTTCCATGTAGCCCTGGCCGACCTCTAGTCACTGCAGTCTGCTGGCCTCGGCCTCCCAAGTGCTGCTTATAATTGCATGCCACTGCACCCCTATTTTGGTGAGCTACCAGTTCTGTTGGCCAGAATCCCCCACATGGGATTCTGTCTCCTTTCAGCATGCACCATCATTCTTAGTTCACCTTATAATTTCCCTCAGGAGCCTGAGGTTTTTAGTGGAGAATATTTAGAAGTCAGGATGTGTTAATGAGCTTGGTCCTTGTTCATTTGTCTTTAACTTGGGGATATTTAATGAGTGTTCTGAATAATGATGGTGTTCGAGTGGCTTGGCCTTGCCCCAGCTCCCAACTCTCTAGCTGAAATATGTTCTGCTTCTGTTGGTT